GGGGGGGGGGGGGGGGGGGGGGGGGGGGGGGTGTCAAGGGCCCCGTGCTGATAATAGTGAGCTTAAGCAAGTGACGTTTTTGACAACACGAACGGCATGAGTAACGTCAGAAGACTGGGTCAAGTGCTGTGATTGGTGAAAAACGTCAACTTTACTTCCGGTCGACGTCCGTGTTGTCAAAAACGTCACTTGCTTAAGCTCACTATTATGCCACGGGCCGATCCGCGTCACATTACCCTGTAATCCGGCCCTGTCTGAGTTAATGACTCAATCTACACATTACAACACTGCTGATTACTGTACTACTCCTTACAACTTTTAATCAAAACTTTAAATTGGTATATAATTGTATGACATTTCAAACATAGCAAAATTTAACATGCTGTAATTGTAAAATAATGTACACGTTGTCGCTATTTTTATTGTTCATTGATAATGGTTTCCGTAGAGGAAACGTTAGACAAAATAAAACAATGAAAATAAATGAATAAACCTGGATTCAAAATCTTCAAGAAGAGTTAGCCCTAGTATTTTTGGTTTGCACGTCAAGCCTGAAAATAAGTGGCCGGACACGGTCTCACACGAAAACGGCAAATGTCCGGCAAAATGCTTTTCTCACCGGAAAGGTGTTTACTGAGTGGTATACATGCAGTGATATTGCCATAATTGTTAATATTCTTTATGTTATGTGAATAGCACGTGACTGAGTCTGCGCAGCGGTGTGGCGAGGGGGAACTGAACATGGCGAACATGTGGTCAAGTTTTTACAGTTGTAAAGTTGTTCATATTAAAAGTTGATATTACAAGTTATCACAGTGTACAGATTGATTGATTTACAGTACATTGGTAGCAGAGAGTGGTTCTTAAAAAAGTAACAGATACGGATAGTACGTTTATAAATCCACCGAAGTATCATAATGACTATAGAACATGGAAGCAGGAAATCGAGCTGTGGACAAAGGTTACAGGTTTGGCCAAGGCAAAGCAAAGCATTGCGGTTTGTTTAACGCTTGATGGCAAAGCAAAAGAAGTTGGATTAGAATTAGGAGATGATCTTGGCGGTGAAGACGGACTTGGTCATTTGTTAAGAAAGCTTGATACGTTATTTCTCAAGGCCACTACTGAAAGTGATTACGAGGCGTATAAAAATTTTGATACTGTTAGAAGAAAACCAAGTGCAAGTATGGCAGAATACATTGTGGACTTTGATTCGCTTTACACCAAGATAAAAAAGAGAGAGATGGTTTTACCAGAAGCTGTTCTTGCCTTTAAATTATTGGACGGGGCAGGATTGACAGAAAATCAACGACCATAAGCACCAACTGCTTGTTCTGACTTGAAATATGAAAGTATGAAGTCTACACTAAGGCCATATAAAATAAATTCCTTGATTCTCATCACCGCCCGACGATATTTTGGTTTCCGCGTTGATATATTTTTGTATTTTGTTATAAAATATAAATTTACCGCCCGACCGAGCATCTTCAGAGATTTAGTTATTTTTATAT